TCTTCTTTATTAATAATTAAAAGTAAATAACATGCCTAGATTATGTATATATGATCAGCATCCAGTATAAATTTCTATTCTTGAATTAGCTGTCACGACCTAATTAATGATCATGTCTTAAATATAATGTGATGATATTCGAGTTTTGAGTTCAGACCTTAAGAGCACCATTCTCTCTACTTCAAAAAAAAGGAAAGTTTCCTATCCGTCAGCCTCTTGCATTACTGGCAGTAACTTCAGGAACTTCACTAGCAAATTCAGCCTCCTTCTTTGATTTCCTATCCTCGAGGTAATGCTGATAAACATAAGAAACAATGCCCCAAATTGCCAACACCATGGAGATCACCTTTATCCCGTCGAATTTGTCATGGAAAACGAAGATGGCTATGATCGGAACCATAGGAAACACCACCACGCTTATGGCGTTGCAGAAGAGAGCAGACACCTCAAAAATCAACGCGATCGCACCCATGTCGAACATTTGCCACCCTATAGCCGTCCAAACCAGAGTCATGACATAAGAAACCTTTCCCAGATTATACCCCTCCATCTCTGCTTTCACTCCCTTCCAGTCTCCGCTGGCAAAAAACCCCACCGTGGCAAACACGGTGGCGAAGAAGGCTTGGTAGAATGACAAGTCCACTATGGTCTTAAAAGTTTGACCCTTAATCACTTTCCTGAAGACGACCTGCTGCAGAGCAAGAAGCAGTCCGGTCCCTGCTGTTCCCCCCATGGTACAGAGAAACCCGACGGTGTACTCCTCTTTGGAGATTCCCGCAGCCTTCTCGGAGTCGGGTTGGAAGACGAGGAGGACGGAGGAGACGGTGAGGAGGACTAAAGAGTTGATTATAAAAGGAGTGAACTTTTGGGAGTTGAGAAAGTAGGAGAAGAAAGCGTTGAAACCCAATTGGGAGGCAGAGATGAGTGTCACTGTGGACACCGGAAGTTTCTGTATCCCAACTGCATACATAAAGCAAATTCCGGCAACCAGCAGTCCAAGGGAAACATAAACAAAGATAACCCATTTGAAAGAAGATTTCTCTGTTTCAATTGGTTTATCAAGAATTCTGGTATTGGAGAGATTAAGAAAGTAATAAGGAATGAGAATGGGGAATCCGGTGACCTGCACAAGGGTTGCCACCCATGTGCTGCCTCCACCTTCCTGAAAGTAAAGTCTTCCAAGCAGTATAGCTATCGACTGACCAGCAAGTACAAAGACGGTGTAGAGCGCAATCCGGAGGAGGCGGTGGCGGCTGCCGGTAGGAATCTCAATTTTTTCATCTGTGGGATTATTTGTCGTCTTTGCATGATCTTCTTGATCTAACGATGGCACATATAAAAATGATTACTTACACTGGTGACATTCTAAATCAATAAACAAAAATCATATGAAAAAGGGTTACTTCATTACCTATAATTTGGAGCTGTATCTCTTGAGCTGCTTCTTTCTCCATGTCTAAATGAAAATGATTCCAAGAAAGAGATGGAGAGATTGTAGTGAATAATGAGGATGAAGCAAATTGGCGTAAGATATAAAGATAATGGCAATGGTCCAAACGCCAGGGGTAGTAGGTATGCCAACTCCCTTAAAGTGCGGACATCCCCTGGGGTCGTATGTTCGAGTTGTGAGGATATCTCTTCCTAACCACTGGGTCCTACGTTCGAAACCAAGAGCAAAAAAAAAAAAAATTTTTGCCTTCTTCAAATTGGATTAGATTATTCATTTGTTAAGCTTTGATTAATTAATAGAGATAGGGTCATTGATTCCCCCAGGTATGCCTGCGAACTTTATTGTTTGAACGAAATCTTGCCATTTTCCGAACAGAATATATTATGGATACAATCTGTTGGCGTCCCTTTAGAAATCAAGAGACAAAGTAAATCCACATTTGAACTACTTTATGTTGACAATTTGAGTAGCCACAATGCCAGAGTTGTTGCTCTATTACCGTTATGTACAATTGTCAAGTTATAATTATTATATATTAAGTATACAATATTAAAAATAGATCTTTGAATAAAAATGATTGACTATAATATATCATGATAACAAATTTGTAATATCATATAATATTATAATTATATTATTTTTATTTAAGTAATGCCATTTTGGTTTGTCATAACTCACAAGATATAGTTGGATTTTTTTCTTGATATGTAGATATGCAGATGTATTAGGTGAGCTAGTTAACTCCTTCCCCAGCTATAGAGGGATAATGTTCAAAGAAAGTCATTTTCCTATTTAAGTAGAAGTCTTTTATTTACGCGAGAGTTAGTAAAGCCTCACCACTTCATATATATATTTTACTCAAGTCTATTACTTCCATATATCTAACCATTTGACTATTTTGTGTGTACAATATGAACACAGGGAAACAGCCGCCCCAACTACACAATTATATAATTGCCGTCAGCCGTCTATATGTTTTCCTTTTGTTGGTATGAAATTGACTTGTATTTGATAATTCGAAAAGGCCAAGAGACACCTGCTGAGGCAAGTCAGAATCATTGGAGAATTACACAAAGCTGAAATTTTGATTGAGGCTTTTAACAAAGTACTGATATGTTAAGAGAGAATTTACTTACCAAGACATGAATGGCGGTTGTAAGCATGACGTTGAGCTTGGAATTGGTAGGATGCCCTCTCCCACGGGAACATTCAAAACAGGGAAACACCTAACATTGGTTAAGGGAAAAGCATGTAGCACCCTTCGATTTAATTGGTTTTTTTTTTTTTTTAATTCAATTCCTAAGTTGTTTAACGTAACATTCACTTGATGAGATTGTTTAATATGTCCTCTCTACAAAGGTATAAGTTTTAAGGACTTGCTCTGACCTGCTCAGCTCCATTTAGGTTCTCTATTTGGCATGTTTGATATTGTTTTATGAATACACTAAGGTTTAGTTTAATAGTGTTATTCTATAATTATAGTTGTAAGTTTTTTGGTTTTTAATATTGTAAAAATGTATAATATATTTAATATTTATTTTAATTAATATTTTTTACATTTTTTGAATAATAAAAAAACAAAATTAAAAGTTAAAGCAATAGAAAAACATTTCCCAACAAAAAAAAAAAAAAAAGAAGCAAAAATGTCTAATAATCTTAAGTACTTTCAAGTTTACATTCCTTTAGGTTACTTTATAAAGTCTAATGGACATCAATAAGAATTTGGTTGAATTAATACTTACTAACTTATAAATTTTGATTTGAAATCAAAACTATAAATTTAAACTTCTGTAATGTTAAGTAAATAATTTTTTAATATTAAAAAAAAAAAGTGCCTAACGGGCCGAACTGTGCTTGATAGCCCATGCGATTCACCGGCCAGGCATTGTGGCTGGGCATTTTGTTGATTAAGTCTTGGATTCGATCTGTGGCAGTAACATCCCCCTGTTTCCTCATATTTACCCCTGATATAAAAAAAAAAAGAAAAAAAAGAAAAAAAAGAAGAAATTGAATACTCTAACGGGCCCAGTACTGGTCACCATGTATGAAATGGAGTATATATGGAGGATGGACTATGGACATCCAAATCCTGGATTCAACAACCAGGTGCCCATCTCCCACTCCAAAGATTTCCTAGGTTGAAAAGAAGTATTCTGTGTTTTAATGATGACAAGAATAAAGAGAGGCAGAGAGAAGGGGGCAAACCATGATACAAAGGCTTAGTTTGAGAACAATGGATTGTAACTATGGCGGTAAGATTTTTAGTCTTAAAAATATATAAAATGTACTTCATATATATATATATATAATATTTTATCAATGATTTATTGATTTGAGTGAAAAAAATTCAATTCCTCTTATTTAAGGTTTTGAGTTTAAATCTTATAAATAAAGAAATAGAGGTTGGAAGAGCTTCCATCTAATGGGCTCTGATACGATTCGATTCCGAATTAATAGAAATCTAATATGATGACCGGATATCGAAAGGTTAACAAAAATATATATATATATAGTATTTTTTTAATATAGCGAACTAAATAAATTTTATTAATAGAGTACAAAAAAATATTTTTACCATTTTTCAAATAATATCCATTCAAAAAAATAGGTCATTTAACTTAGTTTACACATTCTCTGACATTTCATATCAATAAAAACTTTACCCAGTAAGCATATCCATCCACCTTCGAACTACTCTATCCTTTCATCATCAATTTTCCTTTACCTTTCTGAACCAGTTTCTTGCACTCCCATGAATTGGTAATGGAATCCGCAAAAGTGAAATCGACTTGCCCCCAGATCTTCCAGTTATCTACTGGTATTGGTAAGAACGAGTTTGAACCAATGTTAATAATTTCTCCTCGTCAGCCTTGGTACCCTTGGAAAGATGTTCATTTCTGCATAACCAGCTCTGGCACCCTTTTATATATTTATTATTTAAAAGTGTTTATTAGACAGATTTTTAAGAACTTAAGAGAAAAAATCTTTAAAAATATGTATATATTTTAATAAAATTAAAATAATATATTTTTAAATTAAGACTAAGTTTAGTTTGTGTTGATCCTTTCTCATAGTATATTAATGAAATGACTTAATTTTGAAGTGTGTTTTTTTTTCAATTTTTTTAACCCAATTAATAAACTCTAATATCTTATTTTAATTAATATTTTAATATCTATTTTAATAAATATTTTATATATTTTTAAGATAATAAAAATATTTTAAAAAATAGAATCAAAACATTAAATAATATTCTTAAACAAAACCTTAATTAGAGCGCAAAAAATTACTATTCCTTTTTTATAATCAACGAATAACTATTCCATTTTTAACCATCTTTACAAAATAAACAAAAAAAGTACATTGAAATTTTTTCTTTGGCCATAAGTACTTCAGGATTGTTTGGTTTAGGCCCCTATTGGTATAGCAGTTTTGAGGTAACGGTTAGCGGTTTTACCTAAACCACTAAATATAAGTGTTTGGTAAATTTATATATTTCGAAATCGCTACAATTAAAGTGTTTGGTAAAATTTTTATTTAGCAGTTTAAAACTAGCAGATAACGGTTAGGGTTCAAATCGCTAACGGATTGAAAAAACTAGTTTATGTAGCTTTTTATACCAAACCGCTAGTGAATTAGAATTTTTTAATTTTATTGACAAATTTATCCATTTTAATTT